CATGGCCATAGAAGAGGATGTAAACCATCCTTTGAGTTTAAAACCAACAGAACTTTGAGTGCACTACGCCGCCGCGAAAAAGGCTTTTGGGCGTGGTGCAATGCTTGCACTTAAGTTACAGTTAAAAGAGTTTGATAGCAGTGTGTGAGACCCTTAGACACAGGGTGCGACACACGCACGGACACACGCGCACACTCAGGAAATGCGTACGTATGGTCTGAATGCCACTTGCCCTGAAAGCTACCTAAGTAACTCAGACCTAAATCACCAGGGTTGAAGTGAAGAGGCGTCTAACCGAAGTGCAAACAAGTCCAAAGAATCTCGAAGTCCAGAGTTTCCGAAATCCAACGTCTTCAGAAGTTCGCGCCGAAAACGGCGACGAACGCATTAGCCCATGACGATTCACAGAAACTATTTCGTCATATTCAGAAACTATTTCGTCGTATTCAGAAACTATTTTCGTCGTATTCAGAAACTACTGTCCCTCATGCTCAGAAACTTTTATTTTTCCCGATGTGAACAACCACCTGCGTGGTCAGTTGATGGTGGGGTGGGGGGGTTGCGCGGACCAATGCTTTTGTGGGGTGGGGGGGGTGGTGGGGCTGGGCAGTAAGCTTCCGCGCATTGTTGAGGCGGGTGGCGTTGTCGAGTTTCGGAACCCAAGCGGCCAGTTTCCGAATACAACCGTGGAGTTTCTGAATACAGCCGTCTCAGTTTCCGAATACCAGTTTCCGAATACAACTGTGTAGTTTCCGAATACCAGTTTCCCAATACAACCGTCTAGTTTCCGAATACCACCCTTCCAGTTTCCGAATACAACCGCCTCTCTTTCTGAATGCCAGTTTCCGAATACAACTGTGCCTTTTCCGAATCCCAGTTTCCGAATACAACCATTCCAGTTTCCGAATACAACCGCCGAGTTTCCGAATACAACCGTCGAGTTTCCGAATACAACCGCCGAGTTTCCGAATACAACCGTCGAGTTTCCGAATACAACCGTGACCGACACGGCCGGACACAGCCGTTCACCGGCGCGGCCAAAGACTGTGGCCAGCTTTCTTTTTCCTAGGAGAGAACCCCAGCAGTAAACCATTTGGGGAAAACCTAAGTAAAGCCAGGCGGTGTGCAATCCGGCCCAATCATTTGAAACTCAAGTGCTCGAAGTCTAACAGCTCACAAGTTCACAGTTCTCCAAATGTTCAAGTTTGACGAACAGGAACGGATCGAAGTGCAAGTCCGCGCAACTTATTCGCTCCCTAAAGTAAGCCGGAGCACTGGCCGAGGTCTTGCTCTAATGGCAACCAGGGGCAAAGTAAGAAATGAAAGTCACAATGCAGGTATGTCAGGGTGATCAGCCCTAAATCCTCCCAGGCTCATGGGTAACTTTGTTGGGTGTAGACTCATGGGTGGGCTATGACCCCTCCTTTAGCAGCAAAACCGAACGGTTCCTTATGACTCCAAAGGTTACACACACACACACACTTAGTCATAGGGTTTTCTGTTAACTCTGTTCCACGCGAAAAGGGACGAAGGAACGGAATGGCGGCTGGGTCCAGCGACTTGAAGGTGTTTTAACAAAAGAGTTCGCGCGTGACTCCAGAAAACTAGTTACTGAATACTTCGCTGACCAAGGAAAGAAAAGTGTGAACCGAAAGGCGAAAAGTCAGAGTACTTGAAGGTGTTTGAACAAAGGTTAACGCGTGACTGCGTAAAACTAGTTACTGAATACGTAGCCGATCGAATTAACGCCGTGCGTAGAAAAGGGTTAGGGGAATATCATGCAACCACCCTGCAAACAAACCACAGCGAAGGAGGAGGTCAACAGTTCAAATTTCAGCAGGTACGTGGAAATGGCGTCCCTTTTCCATATCCTCGGATACGTCGCCAGCTTCGTTGACTCGTTGACCAGGCGACGATGTATCCTGCCTGGTCCCCTGCTTTTGCAGAACTAAGAACCTTTAGAACTCTTAGAAACAGAGTGTGACACACGCGCGGAGCCGCTTGGCGGCGCTCCCCGGACGTGCAGGTGTGCCGCGCGAGCAGCAAATTACGGGGCAAAACCTGAATAGGAACCTAAAAGCTTTAGAAACGAGAGAAAGAAAAACAGAAAGAGCAAAGCAAAAAGGGCAGGAGAGAAAGATAGGGGTAGCGAAAAATGACTACTTAGCCCTTGACTGGGGCAGGGAAACGAGCCTCAAGAACCACCTGACGAGCCTGAAAGAAAGCCCAAGAAACGACAAAAGCGCAAGAGAGAAAGAGGGGGGCAGGGAGGGGATGTATGTTCATGTGTGTGTGTTTGAATACTTAGCGCTCTAGTTACTGACTACTTAGCAGAAATCAATTACGCGCAGTAGCTAGGGAGCGGGACTTTATTCTTAAACCGGCCGGGTAGAGTAGACTAGAACAGGGACAACAGAGGGAAAGGCGCCGACGCGCAAGTGTGTCGAGTACCATTTCCCTTTGTTACCCTAATTAGAGGGGTGGTAGAGAGAAGGAGGGGGGGGGCTCGCGGGGGTTCATTCTCCGTATGCCCGGCGGCGTCAAAACTCCGTGGCTCGGCAGCATGGGTGTCAGTTGATTCGTGGATGAAACAATTCAATCCAATATCATAATCCCAGAGCTCAAAAACGCAAAGTCAATATGTGATCCCCAATGGTTTCAGCGCTCCCTTGCGGGAGATCACACCCTGCACCCACTAGGACGACAGAGCGGCGCACACTTAGTCATAGGGTTTTCTGTTAACTCTGTTCCACGCGAAAAGGGACGAAGGAACGGAATGGCGGCTGGGTCCAGCGACTTGAAGGTGTTTTAACAAAAGAGTTCGCGCGTGACTAGTTACTGAATACTTCGCTGACCAAGGAAAGAAAAGTGTGAACCGAAAGGCGAAAAGTCAGAGTACTTGAAGGTGTTTGAACAAAGGTTAACGCGTGACTGCGTAAAACTAGTTACTGAATACGTAGCCGATCGAATTAACGCCGTGCATAGAAAAGGATTAGGGGAATATCATACAAACACCATGCAAACAAACCACAGTGAAGGAGGAGGTCAACAGTTCAAATTTCAGCAGGTACGTGGAAATGGCGTCCCATTTCCATATCCTCGGATACATCGCCAGCTTCGTTGACTCGTTGACCAGGCGACGATGTATCCTGCCTGGTCCCCTGCTTTTGCAAAACTAAGAACCTTTAGAACTCTTAGAAGCAGAGTGTGGCACACACACACACATTTTTTCACATGACAAAATCCAATCCACCACTTGTTTGTTCCGGGTCTTGATGCAAACGAGAACTTGACATCTGGGGTCCATCTGGGGTCGTTCGTTTCTTTAATAACTTATTTTCCAATGCGTTCACAATTTTTCACTTTTTTGCCGCCGACACACAGATCGCCACTGCTAGAGCATGGGGTCTAAGAAACACTTCACTCAGCCACTCCAACTGCAGATTTCAGCTCCAGTCGCCACTCCGAGGTTGAGGCTCAACCACAAGAAATTTGCTGCATTCGCTGGGGGCCTTTAAGCTTGGAAGAAATGCCCGTGCCTCAGCTTTGGGGGAACCTGGACACGCCAGCCATGCTTACATTTCAAAGTCGCAGAGCGCAGTAACATGTTATCGCCCCAAACTCCTAGCCGCTTAGCCTCCAAACTGACTTTACCGTCATTGCGCGATCAGGTTGAAGGACACAATCACTCAATTGGTAATTGCTTTGATTTCACCCTGAGGTCATCCCCACAAAAAATTGGACAAATCCACACATTCCCTGTTCTGTCATCCAATGAGGAGTGAGCCGGGCTCCATGCGGCCTTTATCGCAGGAGCTTTGTTCCATTGTCCATTGACCAACACTTTGGTAGAACGCATGCGGATCTTTTGAACACAGTTCTCCAAGAGGCTTATATAGGGATAATAATCAGAGTTGTTCATTGCGACAACAGATTCTAGAGATATCATCCATACAAGTCGAGTCCATGCCCTGCTGTATTTTGTTGTATTCTGCTGTGCACTTTGTCCGTATTGCCGATTGCTGAACTGATGCCCGAGCCTTATGGCGTCAGGCCGAAGTGCAGACGTTGACTGATGCTTGTGGGATCAAAATGCCTTTGCCCTCTGCAGAGATTGGAGCTGTGACAAGTGACACACATCCAAGCTTACATTGGTTCTGAGCAAGTACTGAGTCAGAATGCCTCAGATAAAGATACGGCGGTGCCGCCAAGAGCGATCACGCAAGATTCGCAGAAGCAGAAGCAAGATGCAGCAAGTGTTGGAAGGAAGCCGTTTTTGGCGCAATTGAATAAAGTGACTGGCCATGGGATCATCGTGTCAACATACGTCCAAACACACAAAGACACGTGAGCTAGGTTCAAAATGAATGGACGCGGATATGAATAGTTACTCTATAGTCAGAAAACTTGGCTCAGGTTTTTGCAATGAGCCATTTATTGTGTAGGGAAAAATGCCTCTGGAACGAAAAAACCCAGATGCAGATGGCGCAAGCCATGTTGGGCAAAAACCGTGACAATGAATGGGAAAGTACTACTCGGGGATGGGTTTGGCGCCATCTACTTTTACAATCCGTTTCGTGAAAGACCGCTATAAAATTTTTGACCCTGAAAGCAGCAAGCACGACATTAGATGGCGCAAGCCACCTTTCCAACGATGTGTTTTGAGTGGTTTGAGTGAAAGGATTTTATTTTTGGTGAGAGCGGCGTTGCAAAGAAAATTGGCAAGAGGAAAGCCATAAAGCCCTAGCACCATAGATGGCGCAAGTGGCAACACTGTACTTTTGGAGATTGACTTGCTGTAAGGAAAGGAAAGGGAAGAAAAGGACAAGGTATTAGTTTGCTGACTTTTGCAATTAGACAAAAGGAGTTGCGCCATCTATTTGTTCAACCATCCTAATCATCTTTCACACAAGGGTTGTGCCATCTACTGGGCTATTATCGTGCAGCGTTCTGTTATTGGTTCAAGTGCAAGCGAAAGGAAACGGAAAGGTGAAGGGAAAGGCAAGGGAAGGATAGAGAAAGGAGAAGTGAATGAAGGAAAGGAAAGAAAAGAAAGGCATCCAAGGAGAGGGAATGGATAGGAAAGCAAAGGTCAGGAAAGGAAAGCAAACAAAAGACAAATAAAAAGAAATACTGTAGATGGAAAGACTAGTCCAGAAAAGGAAGGGGAAGGGAAGGGAAAGGAGAAGTGAACAGAATTAAGCAACAGGA